CCCAATTAGATTCCTGCTCCACAGTAGAGCAGCTGTAGTATTACTGTTCAGGCATCTGAGAGAGCCAGTTGACCTAATTGAAGCTCATTGTTCTTCACTCCACAGTGAAACTAACCTTTCTTAGGGCAATTTTGCAGTCTATTCCTGCTCCATTTCACAGACTCTTTAGTTGTTTTTAAAATAATAGATCCACCCACAGGGAAAAGTCTTAAGCAGTGGCTAAGGATTTAGCTTTAGTTGGCAAGAAAGGGAGGATGAGTCAGTTGACAGTTAGGCTGTATCCCTGCTCCATGCAACCATAGCCAAGGAAAAATCATTTCTCTTCATTCTGCCTCTCAGAAACAAGTTATTTATTATATGCAGGGGTGTATGGTATGCAGACAGACAGACAGAAATCAATAAGAACAACTTGCACGTGAGGGCCTTGTCACATGGTAATTTTGGGTGGCTCCTGGAGCTCTTAACCCCTGGACTGCCTGCACATTAACACCTTAAAGTGGTTCTAAGCACTCATTATGTGGCTCAAAGTTACACCACTCCAGGGCAGGATTATCTCTGATCCATACTACCCAATTCCTGTTCCATTGAGGTGTGGCCACTCCCTGCAGAAGTGCTGCCCAAATTGAAATCTTTCAGTATCCTGGGATCTCTCACACCCCCGCCTGTATAGCAGGGATAGAAGCCTGTCCTGGCTCACTAGCTCTTTAGTGGCAACTCACAGCTATAGCACCTAGTCCTGCCTCTGCTCACCAGGCCCCTAGTGGCAAGTCACAGCTCTGCAAGTACGGAACAGTCAGAGCAGGTTTCAAGAATAAAGATGTAACTGTTCCAAACTCCAAGCTAGCACTAACTCAGATCAACATGCATGTGGCTCAGTGTGAGGTGCAACAAGACCCTAACAACATAAGAAGGTTTGGGCTACTTCTTATATTTCCCCACTTCAAGTAGTTTCATTAACATGAGACAATAGACTAGATTTTTGACTGGATTCAATGAATACACCTATACTGAAATTAATTCTTAGCATAGCCCCGATGCATACAATGGCCAGTAAGTGTTTCAGCAGCTTTTGACCTAAATGTGTGTGTGATAACACATCTTTGGAAGATGAAAAGATCTTCCAAGTTATTTCATCTTTGATATCTCTGCCGTATCCTGGGCATAACATGGCGTGACAATCTCCAACTTCACTGTTCTGGAACGGACCAAGATATCCAGTATGTTCTTGTTCCCGAGACAGAGATGCTCCCATTGATTAGGGCACGTGAGTTGTATGAGCCATGGCCAAATCCTCAAGGACATACTCTACAGTGAGCCGGCCACTGGCAAACATCAACTTGGACAGCCCAAACTCCATTTTGTTGACGTCTGCAAGAAAAATATTCATGATCTCAGCATCAATGGCCAATGCTGGGAATTAATCACTTTGGACCACTGTGAGTGAAAAGCTGCCATGAGGCAGGGCCTGCATTGCTTCAAGCTGGAAAGGGTCAATGATGGGCTAGAGAAAAAGTGAGAGAGGCAGGCAAGACAAAATGGTACTCAGCATGCCAGTGCAAGCTCAACCAAGTTTCTATGTGCAACTTGCCAGAGAATCTGCCTGTCACGCATTGGACTCCTCAACCACTCAAGGAGCTGTAGTGGTACCTGGTAACCTAATAAAGGTGCAAATTTCCAGGATCTCCTGAGATGAATGGCTTCCAATGATGAACACATCTTTGCATCAGCTAAACACAAGTTCAAGAACAAAGTGACTGGCATCTGGGCTGAATTAATACATTATGGGTTCTTTTA